TTTGTTACATGTTCCATTTTCGGTTTTCACTAAGTGCACCCCCCAACGACGTAGTCCTACGGCAAAAATGTTTAACTTCGACCCTGTTCCGCGATCCCAAAATGGCGGCAGATTTCGATTTTCCACTTCTACTCATCGAGCCCATTTCGTAGATACCCATATTGCATGGGTTTAGATGTATATTCGCTGTATGGAGACCACCATATTGGATTTTGGTTCACCATCTTGGATATGGGAAGCCATCTTGATTTTTTAATCCACCATTTTAATTTCATCCGGAATGCTGAAATGAATTTCTGAATGTCCTAGACTCAAGAATTTAACATATCTTCTAATCCTATGATTTTCGATGATTTTGATCGTGGTTGATATTGATGCTAGTTGATTTTGGGAAACGAAAATCACAGCTGATGTTGGTCGAAACTCACGGGTGATTTTTGTGCTGATGATGGCTTGTGATATTGGTGCCTGTGATTTTAGGTGATATTGATCTTGAAAGATAGCTGATTTTGATTATCTTGATTTTAGTCAACACTGCTTATGACCAAACATTAGTATTTTGATTTGGGGTATGGGTAAAATTCAATTTAGTTCAAGAAATATCAAACCTTGAATGAGTAGGGGAAATTGATGTAATGTCGGCCTAAATGCCCCTAATTTGGGCTCATACATAAATTCAGCAATCGACTAAATTTTCAATAGCGACCAAAAATATCCATTTGTGCCGTCCAAATGACGCGTTCATCTAGATAAAATTGATAAATAGCAGTTTTTTAGCGATGAGCCCAATCTTAGATCCATAGACCAACATTAGAGCCATTTCCCTTATATTAATGAAAACTCTATACCCTATCAAAGGTAATGCCTTAAGCTATAAAATGGAACCAATATTTCCAATTCAGAAAAAAGTACAGAGAGTAAATTTAATCATTATGTTCAAAGTTCCCGCATAGTCGAAGATACCCCGTTTTAAGGAAGTTAAAATTAATTTGAGTCTTAGTGTGGAGGATAAAATGTCAAAATCTACCTCACGATCATTAAATATTTGAAAAATAAATATAATAGGGGAAATGGCTCTAATGTTGGCCCATGGACCTAAGATCACTAAAAATCTGCTATTTTTCCATTTTATCTAGATGAACGCATCATTGGGACGGTACTATTGGATATTTTGGTCGCTATTGAAAATTTAGTCGATTGCTGAATTTATGAATGGGCCCAAATTAGGGGCATTTAGGCCGACATTACATCCATTGAAGTGATGAGTCATTTTTAAATCCAAGATGGCGGTTTCCAATTTGACAAAAAAGTGGAAAATGCTGATGGCGACTCATCAATATGGATATTTTTGGAATCGGGGTGACGTCTAGAATAGTTAGAATTGGGGTGACGTGTAGAGGCCGGAAATAGATATCCGATGACAATTGTAAATCTAATATGGCGGATTTCGGTATAAGCAATGTTTGAAATGCTGTCAAATACCCATCAATATCGGTATTTTTGGAATCGGGATGGCGTCTAGAGAATGAAAATGGATATGCGACGCCATTTTAAAATCCAAGATAGCGGCTTCTTGTTTAATAAGAAGTTGGAAATTCTATCTAATACCCATACATATATTTTTTTTAGAATCGGGGTAACGTCTAGAAGCCGAAAATCGATATCCAAAGCCATTTTGAAATCCAAGACAGCAGCTTCAGATTTGAGGAAAAAGATCAAATTTCCTAAAATATGGGTATTTTCAGAACGGGATGGAGCTATTTTGAAATCCAAGATTGCAACTTCCGGTTCCAGAAAAGGTCGGAAATACTGTCAAATACCCATCAATGTGGGTATTTTTGAAATTACAGTAACGTTTAGAGGTTAGAAACCGCAATTTTAAAATCTAAGATGGTGGCTTTGATTCAGAAAGTGTGAAATACTGTCAAATACCAATGAATGTGGGAATCGGGAATCGGGGTGACATCTAGAGGCCAGACATCAATTTCCCGACGCCATCTTCAAATTCAAGATGGTTCCGATTCAACCTAAAAATGGCGGCGATTTTCACCATCCATGCTTTGTCCCCGTTACGAAAATATCCAGATCTTAGGGTATTTGACACTTTTTATGAAACCCGATGGCCTCCATATTGGATTCTAAAATGGTGTCGGTTATCGATCTTCTGCATCTACACACTTAAAAATAACTAATTTCACACGTGATGGAATCCATCTTTGACATAAAAGATGAAACGTTAACAAACATGTCACGTAATATTAAGGGCTTCGGGACTGAAAATAAGTTCGTTGCTCGACGAAAAGTACGTTTGATTGAGCTTAATTTGGCGTCTGTTATAACTTAAATTTATGGTAAAATCGACGCTCGTATATGTCTTTCTAAGAGCACCTAAATCTAAATGAATTTTTCTAACTGTGTACGTGTCGTCCCCGTTCCGAAAATACCCATATAGTAGGGTATTTGACACTTTTCTGAAACCCGATGGCCGGCATATTGGATTTCAAAATGGTATCTGATATCGATTTTCGGCATCTACGCGTCGTCCCCGTTCCAAAATTACACAATTGTAGGGTATTTCAAACTTTTCCTTAATCCCGTTGTCCACCATTTTGGATTTCAACATGGCGGCAGATATCGATTTTGGGTAGCTACGCGTTGTCCCCGTTCCGAAAATACCCATATCTTAGGGTATTTGACACTTTTTCTAAAACCCGATGGCCGCCATATTGGATTCCAAAATGGCGTCGAATATTGATTTTCGGCATTCACGCATCGTCCCCGTTCCGAAAATACCCATTTTTGGGGTATTTGACACGTTTTCTGAAAACCAATCGCTGCCATCTTAGAATCTAAATGGCATCGAATATCGGTTTCCGACACTTACGCGTCGTCCTAGTTCCGAAAATACCCATATCTTAGGGTATTTGACACATCAGTAAACCAATGGCAAACAACATGGATTTCAAAATGGCGACGAGTATCGATTTTCGGCCTCTATAGCAGTCCCCGTTCCGAAAATACCCATATTGTAGAGTATTTGACACTTTTTCTTGGATTCCAAAATAACGTCGGAAATAAATTTTCGGCATCTCCCCTCCCCCAAAACTATTTTGCTAGCTTTTGCTTGTAGCTGTATCTGCAGCTTCTTTTCAGCTACTTTACAGCACAACGCTGGAAAAATTGGCTTACAAAGCTGAAAATGTTAGTTGGGCTTTGCTTCAAATGAAATGAACTGATAGTCAAGTCAAGTTATGTTTGACCTTCAATATCGAGAAATGGAACGTTCAATACTAATTACTAAATGTTCACCCCAAGGAGCCACACTCCGGGTTCAAACTGAGGTGTCTCCGAAGAGGGCTCTTCAGGGATACTTAAGTCTGAACGCGGAAAGTGTCTCACAAGAGCGACAATTTAGTAGAATTTTGAATGTGCATCCTACTATAATAATTGCTTTAGTGTCTCTTCTTTCAGCTGATTCGGTACGATAGTCAATGGGACGAGCAGGCCATTATAAGAAATACCTACCCAGAAATCGTTTTGCATTCCGGGTGTTTAATGGTAAATGTGTTATTTCGAGTGGATCTTGAGCTATAGTTCATGTTGAGCAAAAATTATAAAAAGATTTTAAATGAAACTGTTCCAGAATTGTTTAAAGCATCCACAATTTGAATCAAATCTGTGATCGTGAATAGATGGAGAAGGACGGTTGCTCATCTACACCTTTATTCTTAATCATATCCTGTTATAGTTTAACAGACCACTGCTGTCAACTGAGCAGTTTTTCTGAACCATGAAACCAATGAAAAGCGGGAAAAATCACCCGTCCAAGCTCAGAATAATAAATTCTACTTCCTTTTTAATTTAATGTTTTATTGCTTCGTTGAGCTTTCCTTGATCTTTGCCGGCGTCAGTGAGCTGCAATTGAATCATTTGCCGACGATGACGACAGCCCAAGGTTCCACCCGGACCCGGCGGAAATTATGGCTTTTGTGGCCAAGTGCGTGTAATTAAAACCGGAAAACACCCGTTGAATGATGTTTATTGTGGTGAATGGTGTGGGTACTCGTAGACCGGTGAATTGCAATTACTTTTAATTCCTGCTCGCTTATTGTGCAACTCCAGTGGATTGAAACCGTACTGAAGGAAATCGAATGACCTTATTGGGAACTTAATAACAATGACTTCACATTCTCTTGTTCAATCCATTTAAGAAAGCAATTGGGAATTATTAGTAAATTTCATCTGCATTTATCGACTGCTGTAATTAGGAACTTCGACTAATTTCCCCAAAAGAACCAAAAATGCCACCCTCTTCCGATCCAACGTTCAATCTGCCTAATTACATTTTCACAAGCACAATAGGACAATATGTTTGGCAACGATAATTGCTGTGTCGAAAATGGCCGGTATCATCATCTACTGCCGCGTCCGTCGTTTCCATCCAACCTTAAAGGAACAATCTTCAATATTCACCACCCAGCATTCCAGTTCACAACGGAACGACATTCACGTCGTCTTGGTCGATTATGATTGCTTCAAGGAACCAACACAAATATTATCTCGTTTCAATGACCGAGCGTCAACGCTCAATAACTAGAACCAACACCAATCCGTGCGAGGTATCTCAATCATCACCTCATTTCGACCCCCACACCCCCACCCCACACTAGAATAGCCCCTTGCAGAGGACGCAAAACAATAACGAGAAAAACGAATCCTTTCCCATCCTGACAATAATCATTAGAAAAGTGTTGCTGTTTCCACCGCACCGCCGCCACCCTCTCCCAAGTCCCAATAATAACCCTGAGCGATATTGTCATTGTTGCTTATCCTTGAAAACGTTTCCATTCAGCTTCGGATTTTGGAGCTCTCTGCCTCCCTGGTCCGAGTCACAGTTTGGTCGGTGCCTAGCACGCTACTATCGATAGCGCACAACACACAATTCTTTTAGTTACTATTTCACGTTCCTCATGGTTCCAATGTTTTGTTTTTATTTGCAGTCTGCCACTTCTGTTTATGACGATAGCGTACTTTCAAATTGTACGAGTGCTGTGGCGGTCCGACACCATCCCCGGCCACCGGGAGTCCCGGACGCAACCCTGCGGGAGTAAGTATCGATGCGACTGTGACACTGAACGGTGCTGATATTTTGTATTTTCAACTGAGCATATACTAGAGCAGTTCCACGCCAAATGATGAATCGGAAAAACTCGACGTTTTCCGATGTATGCAATCATTGATAACATTCATAAATATCATAAATATTTCAAAAATTATATCCTCAATTTTTATATTAAAAAAATGCAAACATTTTGAATATCTCAAACTGTTAAAGCCCTTAAAAACAACTTCTGAGCATCTTTTTGAACTTTTTGATGGTATGCTTTTTTTATGTAATTTCTAAAAAGGAAACAATATTTGATAAATTCTAAACCGTTTTTTATGTAAAAATTACTTTAAAATAGCTTGCTAATAAGAAGTTTAAACCAAAACTTGGTGTTTGGAAATTTTCAAGTGTCGGTGGTTTTAAGTGTTTCAAAAGTAGGCATTTTTCATGAGCCTGTTTAAAAAATAAATATTGAAATTGAAGATATACTTTTTGAGATATTTCAGTTTCTAATACTGTGTGGCCATGCATATTTTCCCAGAAAGGCTTTACTATTCTCAACAACTTTGTGTCATTCATCATATCGGATTGAAGTGATGTTTTCATGCATCAGTTTATTGAAAAAAAAAGTCAAAGACGCCATTTTGAAAAAAATATTAAAGAACCAAAGAAATTTTTGCAAAAATGTGAATGATTGTCCATAACAAACAATTATGCAAAGTTTCAGCAAATCGGAGAAGGACAATAAAAAAAAAATTTGGTTTGCTGTTTGGCTTGGAATTGCTCTATATACGAACGGAAGTCGTTGTGGGAACATTATTACATGTGGAACAAGGATGTTCAATCATATCAGTCGCCGTCGGGACTGAAAAAATAATAACAGCAAGTTGAGCTGGAGCTTGAGCGTAATTATTATTTTCGTAAATCGGTTTTTTTTTTTACTATTATGATGTATTGAAATTCGGTTGGAGGAACGATTATGTAAATGAAATAATATTCGAGTTTTATGAAAGATATGTTGGTCAGAAATCTATAACAAATCCTTCTTAAGAGTAGATGTTATCGTCGCCAGTGAGGTCGCCGCCGGGATGGAAATCTAGTAATGATGATGATGATGATGATGATGGTCCCACCATTTACCCCTACAAAGGTTTGAGCTGGACGATTTATCTTTAAGATAATTAAATATGACATTTTAACCAGGTTGGCAAACAAAATCGAACTGGTTTCAGTTACAGATATAAATTCCCTCTAGAGTTTACAGTTGCTTCACAGCGATATAAATGTTGAAAAGCTCAGGCGTCCACCTCTTAGTTCGCCTTTTTGTCCACCTAAAATATTCATAAGTATTACAAGCAATCAAGAGTTAATGAACAATCAACAAAGCATCCTATTACACTAGTAACCCCGCAATCTGATGCTATCATAATTTTCAGCAATGTCAGGAATGCTCACGAACCCCCAACATTTGCCAGAAAACTTACTACTAACTCAGGGTATCTTCCAAATAAGCTTCAAAATTGCATTTTTTTTTATTAAATGTTAAATTCAGTCCTCTATATCCATTAAACGCGCGCGAGGCTCAAACCTTTGTAGACTACTATTTTTTTTACTACTACTATTAAATCATTTATCAAAAATCCATCATCACCATCGTGGCGAACAAAATAGTTTTTGCAGTGCTACAATAATTATTAAAAAGTCGTTATAACAGCTATCCATACAAAATAATCCGTTAAAAATAACTTCGTCAAGATACATAATTTGTCAATTCATAAAAAAAAATCACTGGATAACCGTTCAAAAGACAGTTTTCACGTGTGAAATGCAATGTCTCTTAAATTCTGCTAATGTTGTTGAACGTTTAATGTATCTAGGCATCGAATTGAAAACATTTATTCCTTTAAAAAATAATGAATTCTGTGAAGCACAAGTCAAGAAATGTGGTGTTCTTATTTCATCCGCGTTTCTAGTATTATATCTATGATAGTCACTTCCTCTTTCAATTCGATCACACAAATATCGAGGCAGCAAACCGTTAACTACTTTAAAAATGAACACCATAGTCAAATATACAATTCTTTGCTTCACCGACAACCATTGTAAGGCGTCTAACATCAAAGTTGAGGAAGTGAATCTACTACATCTCAAAATCAAACGCATTATTTTATTCTGCAAGCGCTGTAATCTCGATATTTGTGTTGCATTCGACAGAAATAATATGGATGGGCAAAAGTCTAGATGAGGAGAGATGATTGATTTGTATAGCTGTATTTTACTGGCAATAGTTAAATCGTTTTTCAATCGACATAGAATTCCATACTTCTTGGCAATTTTCTTGATGACATTGTCAATGTGAGAGTTGAACTTAAGTTTGTCATCAATAATCACGCCAAGATATTTAATCTCCTGAACGCGATCAATAGTCTCATCATCAATTACAACAGAGACGTTCTCATTTAATCGATTCCGCGAAATTACCATAAATTTAGTTTTACTTGTATTCAATTTTAACTGCTTACACTTCAACCATCTACTTAGATACTGCAAATCTTCATTCAAGTGTGAGACGGCAACTTCTAAATCCTTAGCTGCAATGAATAACACAGTATCATCTGCAAAAAGGTTAATGTCGCAAAACCGTAAAACACGTCGCAAGTCATTAATATACATAATAAATAAAAGGGGCCCTAATACACTTCCCTGGGGCACTCCAAGGTTGTTCCCCACGGGACTGGAAACAGAATCATTAAAAACAGTCCGTTGAGTTCTGTCAGACAAATAGCTTTCAAACCATTTATATGCAGTACTCGTAATTCCAAAGCGCTTGATTGTACTTAACAGTAAGGGCCTAGAAATTGTTTCAAAAGCGCGTTTCAGATCCAAAAAAACAGCAACAATCGTATCTTTACGCTCCAAGTTGTCTTTCCACTTTGCTAACACCAAATTCAATGCAGTTTCACAAGAATGACCTTCCCGATATCCCGATTGTTCTGGTATCAACAAAGAGTTGCTATTCAAATACTCCAACAGCTGGCCTTTAACAACAAGTTCTAAGATTTTCTCTAATGTGTGCAACATGTTGATGGGACGAAACTCTTCGGCTATACTCGTTCCAGCAACTTTTTGAATAGGAATCACTAAGGATTCCTTCCAAATTTGTGGCACATGTCCATTCTGCAATGATTCATTAATAAGGTCCAGAAAGATGTGGCCAATGACATGAAAGCAATCTTGAATAACTCTAGCATTAACATTATCTACTCCAGCCGATTTTCCTAATGAAAAACAAATAACTCCAAGTTCATCTAATGTAATTGGGTGAAAAACTTCAAATCTGCAACTACTATTAACTGGCTGTTTTATTTCGTCAGGTTCATCGACCAATTCAATAGATTGATTAATCAATGAAACACTGTCTACGAAATAATCATTAAACTTAGATGCAATTACTTGTTCTGACTGTTCTAATGTGCCATTAAAAGTTATGGACCGCGGTTTGCAATTACTAGGTTTTAATAAAGATTTCAAAATTTTCCATAACTCTTTGCTGTTGTTTTGATGCTGATCAATCTTCCTTTGAACATATTCACAACGAGTTTTCTTTATCGATTGTGAATACTTATTACGCGCGATTGTGTACCTAGTCCAATGATTGTCATTATTAGATCTACAAAACTTTTTGTACAATTTGTCCCTTTTCCGTTTAAGACGCAAAAGATCCAAATTGTACCAGCTGTTCGAGTTTTTCAAAGAAACAAACTTTTGCTCAACTAGTTGATTGGTACACGTTTTCAAAGCGTTATTAAGAACAGCTGTAGATTCATCTAAGTTACCGGCCGCGAATGGAAAATCCAGGCTTCTCTCAACAAGATTTGAAACAGCTTGCTTCGAATATTTCCTCCAGCACTTCAATTTTACAAAATTATCGTTATCGTTAACATGGTCTAAGACATTAATCACTAAAGTCTCATGATTGTTCTACTGTGCCTGGAAATACGCGTACATTCATTTGCCGTTTGCTTTAAATTAAAAAACTCAGCTAAACGCTTCAAATGATTCGAATTATGGTTATCACGCCAATTAATATTAAAATCACCAGCCAATATATTTAATTTACTAGAATCAAGGAATGTCTCGAGCCAGTTCTCTAAAACTTCAACAAAACGCTCGTCACTAGAACTGAGAGAATGATACAAAACACCATAATTACCCATCTTCATGCCACGTACAACTGTAATGCCCAAGAACCAGTTGCCATCAATAACTTCGTTGGTACGAAGGTTGAATTGAACTGATTCTTTGACATAAATAGCAACACCGCCAGTGTGTCTAGAATGTGATAAACAAGCAGCAACAATATATCCCGGAATACTATACTGATCAAAAGCTTCAATTTCTACAATATGAGTTTCAGATAATAAAACTAAAAGAGGACGTTTTTCCTCAACAATCTGACGTAATGCTACGTAGTTTGTTGACAACCCCGCAATATTCAAATATAAAAAATCGAATTGATTCACATTCCTGGAACTTGGCTGCTATTTATTGAAACGCAAGCTGCTTTTCTTCTGATCAAAAAGTCTTTTATAGAGCAAACATTCCGAGCTAAATGCGGCATGGTTGACGTCCAAGTTCATTTTTCGTTCTTTATTCATTTTCAAACAATTAATACATTTCAATACAGTTGACGTACACTCCGACGTTTTGTGTTGTTGGCTGCACCTAGATCATCTATCACAATTTTTGCAATCCATGCTCTTGTGCCCAAATTCTCCACATTTGAAGCATCTCAACACATTAATCGCGGGAACTATCGAGCACCGATCAAACCCTACATTTACTTTTTTCGCACATAACAAACATTTATAAGTATCGACATCGACTTCAATTACAACGCTAAACTTGTTATAAGTGAAGCGTGGATTTTCAAACATGTTCACTACTTTTACATCATTAATAGCGATGTCTTCATTTTGACTTTTTAAGTAGTCAATAAA